CTAAAATGAGACTCTAGATAGGCCAACTAGACCTCAGTGGATGGACTTACACTGGGGAACGTCTGGGGACAATGACTTGACACAGTGGGCCTTAACACCAATGACAGAGTATATGGGTTCCAGGAGGGTGCAGGTAGAGACAGGGATATAAAGATGTTTGAGATATTCTTTCCGTATCTTGGGGATATAAAGGTTGTTTGAGATATTCTGCATGAAATATACAAAAATGCAATAAAAGCAAATTTTAAAAATATATGTGTCTATGAGCTAACATAGGGGTCTCTATAAAGCTACATCTAGCCCCCTTGAGAAGTCTTCAATTTCGTATACCTTGAAGGTTTGTTTTATTCTGTTTTGTTTTTGAGACAGAGTCTTATGTGGCCCAAGTTAGCCTTGAATACACCACAGTGAGGATGACCTTGAATTCTTGATCCTCCTGCCTCTATCTCCCACAAGCTGAGATTACAGGTGCATGCCAACATGCTCAGGCTTGCCTTGCAGTTTTAAGTGACAGTTACGTTACGTTCTGTGGTTATTTCTGTTAATCACCCTAATCAAATATTTCTAGAAACCAGTGTATATGTGCTGTGACATTCTGAGGAAGTGTTGATGGTGCCATTCTGTCATGCCATGAGCATGCCCATACACACACCCATGGCCAAAATGTCACCTTGTCTGTATTCCAGTTCATGCAACAACCCTTCTTACAAAGAATCTACTAGAATGACCTAGGGAGAAATAGTTACTTGAGCCCATATGTATTCACATTCTCTATGAGTGGGGGATTATTTTTTTCATTTTTCAGCTTTTTAAGATATAATTGACAGGATGGAATCACATACACTTACAGTGTGCATATACACACACACATATGTGTGTGTGTGTGTGTGTGTGTGTGTGTGTAATGACTTGATGGCCCTAATCAAACTAATGAATAAAATATCCAACACCTCAGTTTTCCCTTCCTGTCCCCTTCTTTCTTCCTCCCCTGGTCCTTCTCCATCTCCTTCCTTCTCCCTAGCTCCTTTCTTCCTCACACTCCTCCCTTTCCTCTTTCTTCTTCTTCCCCTTCTTTCCTGCACTCACTTTGGAGGAAGGATTTTTATGACATACAACATGGAAAAAGGAAATTGTACTTTCTGCTGAACTGCAATTTAAAGAGCAAGACGTATTTCCTAAATGCCTTATAATATCAATTGAACTTGTTCCCTATTACTGTTTTAATGAATTTCATAATCTTAGTGGCTTAAAACATCAGATAGTGGTTCTGGGGATATAGCTCAGCAGTAGAGAGCTTGCCCTGCATATGTGAGGTCTTAGGTGTAATTCCCATAGTGTAAAAAAGAAAAAAACACAAACACGTACTTATTATCTTATAGTTCAGGGGCTCACAAGTCTGAAGTGAGTTGCTGGATTAAAATCAAAGTGCAGGTAGGATTTCCTTCTTTCTTGGAGACTCTAGGCAAGAATTCATTCTCTTGCCTTTTCCTGGAGACTACACGCATTTCTGGCTTTTGCTCTCGTTCCATCTTCAAAGTCAATAGTGGCTATGTCCTCCTCTCCCTCTTCTTAAAGCCATTTGCAATTACATTAGAGCAACCAGAAAATCAAAGATAACCTCTTATTTCTTTTTTTTTTGCACTTATTTTTTCTTTACTTGTATGAGTGTTATGCCTGAATATGTATAAGCGCACCCCGGATATGCAGTGCTCATGCAGAACAGAAGAGAGCAAAAGATCCCCTGAAACTGGAGTTAGAGATGGTTGTTAGTCACCAGGTGGTTGCTGGGATTCAAACCCAGGTCTTCTGTAAGAACAGCCAGTCCTCTTAACCACTGGGCAATCTCTCCAGCCCCAACCTCCTTATTTCAAGGTCAGCTGACATCCTAATTCCTATTTACCATGTAACACATTCACAGATCCTGGAGATTAGAAAGTGAACATGTTTATGGTACTTTATTTGACCACAATGACTATTTTCCCTCTCTTCGGGTTTGTTCATAAGCATGAGTTTCAAAATATCTATATAGCTTTTCGGAGTCATACCAAAAACAGTCAACCCACAGGAGCGCATTACAATATTTACCTCAAAAACACAACATCAATGGAGTAAAGCAATTTGGATGTTTATTCCTTGTTCAAACACAATCATATAAGTGAGTGGCACCATGATACAAATAATATGAGTTTCTCAAAGATCTCATGTATTTTTTTTATTTATTATTTTTATTTTATGTGTATGAGTATGAGTGTATTGCCTGCCTGTAGTGTATTGCCTGCATGTAGGTAAGTGCACCCATGTCGTGCAATGCCTGCGGAGGTCAGAAGAGCCTGTCGGATCCCCTGGGACTGGAGTTATGGACAGTTGTTAGCTGCCATGTGCGTACTGGGATTCGAACCCGGGTCTTCTGCAAGAACAGCCAGTATTCTTAACTGCTGAGCCATCTCTTCAGGCCCTGATCTCACGTATTTTTATAAACACCAGAGCCAGTGACCTCTAAAGTTTTTCGATCTTGGGTTTCCTCCAGCATGCAGCCACCATATCCCTTCTTAGAAGTTTTTCCATCCTTCAGAGCCAGGCCACTGTAGTCCCTGACTCTACAGTTTCTCCCTCTCTTCCTATGTGTCTTCTACTTCTTCCCTGGATGCTTTCACCCATTTTTCTTTTACTAACTCCCATCTGTTGGCATTCTGCAAGCTTCATCCTCACCACTTCCCATTGAATTATTCTTCTCTAACTATGCATCTAGGGCCCCAAAGTTCTCTATCAGCGAATCTGAAAGTACAGAAAAATTCAAGTATAATCTCCTGTCCTTATCTCATAAACTCCATCAACTGCCAACCCCATTTGGGTATCTCCCTAAACCCTAAAGCCTCATATGCTTATTAAAGACTGGACACAATACCTTCCACTTAAAATCCCTCCTTCATCTATTAATCTCTTCAGCAAATGCCTTCTAAAACTGATGCTTTGTTTTGTAGTGGAGACAGACACTGAGGAAACTGCTTTTAATGAGCTTCAGGAACCAAACAATTGTAGTGCAGTGCGGAAGCAGTAATAACACAGAGGACAAAATTAAATGTCCATCCACACAAGCCTCTGTAAGGAGCGTCAAAGTCACCTCTGATGCTCCCCCACATCTATGTACCTCTACATTTAATCAGTAAACAAGTTCCAGCTCTCCTACCTCTAGCTGATCCTTGCGTTCACACTTTCTCTCTGGCCACATTGCCTACTTTAGGCTTTCAACACCTGGTTTGTGAACAATTTAATATTTTTTGGTCTTTTTGAGACAGGGTCTCCCTGTAGCCCCAGGTAGCCTGGAACTCACAGAGATCCACCTGCCTCTTCACTTTAATATTTTTAATAGTATGAATACCTTACTTATTCCTATGCCTGAAACCCACATGGGTTACAGGTGGGAGTAATGCTATCAATATTACTATTTCTAAAAACCGTGATTATTTAAACTCTTCCATAAGCTAACATCAATTTGTTTTCCCACATTTGTCTTTGGACACAGCCCCAGATAACTTTCATTGTGATTATACTGCAACTTATAAGTCCCTAGTACACAGGGAAAAGATTTATTCAACTTAGTTCTTGAATGGCTAGAAATACTGATATTCATGTTAAAAAGTTCATTCAAAGTATAATTTGGCTGACAATGTGCATCTGGTCTGTAGCATCTTTGAAGATGCCACAAAAGAGCTCTCTATGACCATGAATGACCGTTTCTGAATTTAAAAGACTGAATGAACTATGTGGTGACTTGCCTCATTCCTAAGGGTCTGTATCTTGCTTCATCAAGTTCAGAGAATGTTACCTGTGAAAACATTCTTTTGCCAATGTAAATAAGATAAGCAGAATTTCTCTACTTAACTGCACACTATGTGTTCAATGAAGCAATTGGAAATACAGCCATCAATCCCAGCTGTATGACAGCTATTTGAACTTTTAAGAATTAAGTTCCATTCCTTTCCAAACAGCTGCACTTCACTTTGAAGAAGTGGGGTATGGTGGTTCATGCATTTGACTTCTATAACCCTCATCTCCAAATATTAGACACTAACATTCCCAAAACCACCTCATCACGTTCATACTCTTTGCTCTACTGATGAATATTTCTTAACAACACTGCAGTCTCTACAAGATTACCAAATAGGTATAGTTATGTCACACTTTGTGTCCTGCAAACTGACTTTAGGTTAGCACAACATTGTGTAAAAGATCAGACAGTAGAAATGTTTGGCTTTGAAGAACATATAGTCTCTGTCACAACTACTCACCTCTGCCAGGGTAGCATGAAAGTAATCATATACACTACATAAACAAATATGCATGACTGTGTTCTAATAAAAAGTTTACCCAAACAGGCACTGGGTTGGATTTGGCCCATGGATGACAGATAGTTTGTCAGTTACAGACTATAAGAAACAGGTGGTTCAAACATTGCTGATCTTGGTATTACAAAGAGCAAATTCCGCAAACAGAAGTCAATTTATTTAAAGAGCCAGCCATCGTTACATGCGTTTAAAGTCTCATATTATCATCAACCTCTATTATACACTTAACAATCTTAAACTATGCTCAGTTTTAAAGAAAGGAATGAAATTAAGGAACAAATTTGAAGTGACAGAAATGTATTATACCATTATATGGGAGACAGGCATGAATGAGATACATAGATACATTAGTACTCTTTATTAAGAAAACTGATTTATCCACACTCAGATTTGATTTTCACTGATTAAATGTTCACAGCCTTGTCAGAAGCAGCTATTTTTCCAACTCCTGCAAAATTGCCATGCGCAATCAGTGACATTGTGACCCTGTTTGCTACAGTGCAAACAGTTGATAAAATGAATAAAAGTCAACATATTTCCTGCCTACAAACACAATTAGACCAATAAAAAGCTGTTAGGATGAGTGAAAATGGCTACGCCAACCAAAAGGGTCTGACTCCCAGATCCTGACGATTCCCTTAATCTTTCAATTACCTTGTCCCTGAATGGTGGTGGAGAAATAAGCAATCGCCAAAAAAGCTGGAATCAACCAGTACCGCATCTTGCACTGAGAAATCTTCACTTTGTTTTCTGCCTTTTACATGAGGTGTAACAGGTGCCTAGAAACACAGAACAAAGCAACAGGGTTTGGGTTTTTTGTTTTGTTTTGAGAGGTTCTTTTTGTTTAGGGGATTTGGGTATGTTGGGTTTTGTTTGTTTGGTTGGTTGTTTGGTTGGTTGGTTGGTTTTTTGTCTTTTTGAGACAGGCTTTCCCTATAGCCCCAGCAGGTCTGGAACTCACCATGTAGACCAGGTTGGCCTCGATTTCACAGAGATCTGCCTGCCTCTGCCTCTGGAGTGCTGGAATTAAAGGTGTATACCACCATGCTTGCCCAGCATACAACAAAGCAACAGTTTTAAGAAGACTAAAAGCAAGCATCTGCTGTTGTCGAGAAGTACCAAAGCCAATGGGACTTGGCATGATCAGAGAGCAGGGAACTCCTGAGAGCACTGGATTTTCATTATCAGATACAAACTGATGGAAGAAAGCTTTGTTTGGAAGATGCTGTAATTGGAGACAATCATTTGAAATATTTGGGAGAGTTCAGGCTGCACTGTATGACTCTTCCATGAGGAGATGTTAGTTACACTGCATAGTTTACCTGAAATGAGCATTATAGCCATTTGTTATCACAAACAGCATCCTTTCCAGTCATGTGCCCCTCTCCCATGTCTATACATTAAAGTAAAGCCCTAAATGTTGCCTTATGTTGCCTACAAAGTACAAATGTGTAGGACCTTTCTTCTTGTTATCAAAGAGATTTGCTAATATGAAATGATTGCTCAGTTTTCCTTTCATGGGTCGAACAATCCCTAAGCTTTTATTTAACCTTTTCTCACAGCTCATATATATGAAACTCTTCCAAACATCTTTCTTTTGATGTCAATGAAAGAAGAGCCAAAAATAGAGAAAAAAGAAAGGGAGACAAGGAGGGAAAGAAGGAAAAAAGAAAGAACAGAAAAAAGAAAACAGGAGGAGGGCAAGACAGAGGGATATGCTGGGAATTAATTTAAAAGCCCATCTATACCCTGCAATTCTCTTTCAGGTTATTACAGTAGAGGAATTCTGAGTCCCCTCCTTAGCGATTAAGGAGACATCTTATGTAGCCACTGGAGAGGTGCCCTTGCTCCTGTAAGTAGCCTAATTAAACTCTTTGATACACACACACACACACACACACACACACACACACATACACACACACACACACACACACACAGACATGAAAGGAAAGAGAGCTAGTTGGGTAGAGGAAGGGGATCAGGGGAGTGGGAGAGAAAGAGAGGGCAATGGTGGTAAATATGATGAACATACCTAAATTTATGAAAATATCATAATGAAACCTATTATTCTGTACAATTAATACATGCTAATAAAAAATTTTAAAAGGAAGACATTTCATACCTACTAGAATGTCTTCATTTATCCATTCATTTATTCAAACATTTATTTGTTCCCCAAAGTTGTCCCACAAAAGATCTGAGGCAACTTAATAATATATAAATATAGTGTATAAGACAGAGTTGCCAGATTTAACACAAAAAATACAGGATTTCCCTTACATTTTAATTTCAGATCAATAATAGTTTTTCAGAACAAGTATACCCCATGCAATATTTGTGACATATATAATACCATAAAAGTATCATTCACTATATACATGAAATTAAAATTTACCTGGGTATTTTACCGAAAAACCTAAAATAAGGGAAAACTGATAGGAAAATAACAAAGTAATGAGTAAGATTAGCACAGAAAAATGTGTCAGATCCTGCAGCATTAGTGAAGGTACTAGTTAATTGACTGCAAATGAATGAATAAGTGATCAAAGAAGGAAAGACGCAACCCGTGTTACTCTATTATTAGATTAAATTTTAAGGTGCATTTTTCTAGAGTACATAGGTTTTCTGATACTAAAGACTGAGGAGAATTTATCCCATAGTTCGTTCAAAAAGGACCACTATACTTCATTCATCATAAAAGGTATTTAACTCTTGCTCTATGTGAAAAGCAGTCTAAATACTTTACCCGTACAAACTCTACTTGACTCAGGTAAACTCCTATAGTCCTCACAGCAGCCTTTACAGTAGGCATGATTTGAATACTGAGCACAATGAGACACAAAGAAGTATCTAAGTCAATCATCTTGTGAAACCAGGAGCGAGAGTTTAAGCACTCTGGTGTGATCAGTTGAGGTGCAGTGTCTTAGGGAACTTTCTACAATATCACTTTGTTTCTCTTTACAATGCCTTTTCTCTCTCTGATCTGTTCTAGTTTCATTTCTGTGACTGGGCAAACACGCCCTGACCTTTAAAAGAAACTTAGGGGAGAAAGGGTCTGTTGCTTACAGTTCCAGGTTACAGACCACCATCTGGGGGAGGGAGGGCAAGGCAGAACTCAAGCAGCTTGTTACACCACATCACCTCTGTAGTCGAGAGCAGAGGGAAATGAACGCGTTGGCAGCTTGCTCTCTTTGAGCTTTCTCTAGCCTGTAGAGTTCAGGACCCCCCATCCTAGGGAATGGAGCCACCCACCACATCAATTAGCAGTCTAGATAGTACCCCAAAGACATGCCTGAAGGCCAACCAGATCTAGATAATGCCTCAACTGAAGCTCTCTTTTCAGGAGATTCCAGGCTGTGGCAAGTTTTAAAACTAACCAACACAGATTCCTCCCCCCACCCCCCTCAATGCTTTTATTACAAGCAAATATAACAAAGACTATAAACTGTTATTACTTTCTCTTTGTAAACATTTTTTTTACTGTATGTGTATGAGTGTTTAGCCCACATGTATGTAGGTGCACCACATGCATGCAATGTGTGCACTGTCCTAGGAGGCCGAAGTGGGCAGCAGATTCCCTGGAACTGGAGTTGCAGATAGCCACCATGTAGGTGCTGGAAACTGAACCCGGGTCCTCTGAGAAAGCAGCACGTGCTCTTAATCGCTGAGCCATCTCTTCAATTCTGCTATTTTCTTTTTACTGAAGTGTAAACACTTACTGATGGTGATAAATGCCTTTTTACAATACATTTGACAGTATCACAATTTATCTGTATTTAAAAATTTAGGTAATTTCCAAATTTCCCAAATACATATAAACTTTGCAATAAACATTCTTTTCCACATAGCCTTGGGTATATGATTATTGGTTTACTTTAGCTAAATTCAAAATATGTAACTGCTAGGTAAAAGGGCATGGAACTTTTTTCGTATTTTGAGATAGGGTCTTGCTATGTAGCCCAGCTGGCTTTGAACTCTAATCTTGCTTCAGCCTCCCAAGTGCTGGGATTACAGGCATGTGCCACCTCATCCACCTAAGATACAGACTTTTAATTAAAGCACATTACACAATACTGTACGGAAAATTCCACTGATTTCCACCTCCCACCAGCAGGTTACAAAGCACCGTTATATACTACTTCTGTGTTATATATCACTTCTGTGATCACAGGGGCTTGTTTATAACATTCTGGTTTTAAAAGCAAAGTGTGATTGTGATAGTCTCGTTCCATACCAGGGGATTGGCCACGTTTGCATAGCATATGACCAAAATACCTAAGAGAATAACTTAAAGAAGGGAATTCCTTATTTCAGCTCAAGTTTCAGAGGAGTCAATCTAATATGGCAGGGTGAGAATGGCAGATCAGAGCAGCTGACATCATGGGGACCAGGAGGTAGAAGGTTCCAGGACAAGATACAACCCCTATTGACACCACCAATGATCCTCGTCTTCTAATTAGGCAGAAAGTTCCACTATCTCCCAGTAATCTATTCATATTTTGAATCTATCAGTGTAATAAAACATAAGATTAACAAATAACAATTAAGATTGACTAACACAGCCAGTAACATGTAACATTTGGTGTTTGTTGGCTATTTAATATTTGAAATAAAATTGATGAGCTTTACTCATTTTCTTCCTGATTTATGAGAAATCTTTACATATTATCAGTTTTAGCTCATATTTCTTATACTGTTTCCAGTTTGTCTTTTGCCTTCAATTTCACTTATTGTGTTTAAGGTTTGTTTTTTTTTTTAGTGTTTCTTAACATGATATTTTTATTAATTCTTTGAGAATTTCATACAACGAATTTTGGTCCTGTTCAGCCTCCATTCCTCCCAGGTGTTTTGTTGTTGTTATTAAATTATCCAACTAGATCTTTTTTATTTTGGTATCCAGTGTGATGGATAAAATGACCTATCTCACCCAAAATGTTATTTCTTTTTATGCTAGCTTTCTAGTCCCAACTTTGAGTAGACTCTTTTCAACATTGTGGTGTCTAATGGATTGTTTGTAATACAGAAAGACATTGATTTTATGTACCTATTTTATAATGCTCTCCATTTTGAACTAATGATACCTTTATATCTTTTCAGTTTAATTTCTTGTATTGAGTAAACCTGTAACTAATGCTTCTCCTCTTATTGCATGGATTCCTAGTTTTAAATGCTTATTTTACCAGTGACACTTCAAATATTTCACCTTACAGATATTGCTAGCAGTTGAGTTCAGGTATTCTGTCTTTTTATGGTAAGAAACAAAACAACTTAGGACCTTGTGTGGGAGGGGGAGCACACACCTGTATCCCCAGCACTAAGAAGAAGAAATAGGGTCTGTGGTAGAGGCTACATGAGACCCTGTCTCAACTACCTTCCTCCCCCTAAAAAATGTTTTTTCTTTCTTCCTAAGCACTTTTCAATCAAGAATTATTGTGGTTGTGAATTGCCCAACATGGTGCTAGAAATCAAACTCAGGTCCTCTGGAAGAGCAGCACGTGCTATCCACCACTGAGCCAGCTCTCTAGACCAAGGTGCTGTTTTAAATGTTATTTATCTTCATATAAAGAGCTCGGTGTTTAATATAGTTTTTCTTATTTTTGAAGTATATTCTCACTATGTAATCCAGGCTGGCCTCAATCCTCTTTCCTCAGCCTCCCAAATGCTGGTATGACAGGTATAAGACACAATATCAGGTTTATACAAATGTATATAGTATTTCTACTTCGAGATCTTTGATAGTTGAATGTCTAAATAAAATCCCTGCTATGGTAGAAAT